ACCCTAGTCTATAGCATTTGCCAATTTCTGTGGTGTAAATACTCCCACCATTTTCAAAATTGTCAATTTCAAACTACTGATGGTTTAACAACCTGCTCACAAAAGTTCTGAATATTTAACAATTGGCCCAAAAGCCAGCTTCAGGATAGGATACTACTGGGTATAAAATACATAGGGGGGAACTGAACAATTTCCCAACATTATCGATATTGCCCACTACATGGCTCGAATTAGTTGCATGGTCTGAGTTGGTTGTGACCTCCCCAAACATCAGTCTATCTGTTGTTCTCCTGCTCTGACTTCCAAAGGGACCTCGGTGGCCCCGCTCCTCATCTCTCACTCAGTTTCCAAGGACATGCTCTGATATGGGCCTGAGGAGTAATGAAGCCACGGAAGGGACTAGTGGGTAGGGAGCATTTACTGGAAGAGAAGTGGATGCCGTCTTTAGGAAGACTACTCTTACCTGCCTCATAGCAGGGGCAGTACAGCAGGCGAGCTGCCCTCTGCTTGAGAAAGGCTGCTATCCTTAGCAGACCTTGCAGGACAAGGTGGGAATGACACATGAAACAGGGTTTAAGGGAGCTTGGCTCTGAATCTGAGAGGACCAAAAAGGGCTGGGTGTTTCTGTGCCTCCACAGGAGAAACACGCATAAAGTCAAGTCAGAGTGCAGGATCAACATTAGCGAAGATACCACTGGCTTGATTTTAATCCATGAGTTAGGCTAGAGGGGCAGGCTGCTTTCTCAGGCAGGGCACAACCCTAGCTCATCCAATGACAGAGTTCTTTTGCCTGGAGTAGCCTTTGTGCTACTGACTCGTCTTAGGAAACAGCGACGCTGGCAGTTTGACAAAGACTGGGCCCTGAGCACGCTATCATGACTAATGCCACCACATGGAAAAGGACCAAAAACATATTCCCAAACCAAATGCAAATGATTCTAAGATCACTTACCATTTTAGATTATTTGTTCCTTTGGTAAACTTCCAGAAGTTGTGATATTTTGGGGGTGTCTACAACTGCAACAAAGGTACTTAATCCATCCTTGAGCTCCCTGAGTAGCCAACTGCAACACTACTTATATGAGAACAAACTTTTTTTGAACGTTAACTGACTTTTATTCTGGTTCAGTCCATTCGTACAATAACTCATTGCCCATATACTCTTTTTCCCGACTAGACATAAAGATGTTTAATTTATCTTCTAAGATGACAAAGTTAAATTAACTCCCAAATGAATCAACCAGACAGAAATGAATCACAGTAGGACTCACAATTTTAGTATAAACACTCCAGAGCAGGCAGCGTGGGTAGATTTCAAGTAAAAGGACCTAGATTTACTCCACCAGCTATCAAGTCTTGGTCCAGTCATTTAACCTAAGAGGGTTTTCCCATCGGTAAAACCAGGATATTTATACTTAAATCTCATGGTAACATTTCCTGCCATGTACTAAGTATGTTTATCATGTTCTTTGCCCTTAATCCTCAAAATCATCCTTTAAAAGTGCTTAACTTGGAGTTCAGACTCCCACACAGAGATCGAGATGAGATCCAACATGAACATGCCTTCCCATACACGTGTATGAAATTGAATTGAACAAAGTCTCCCATATATGTGTGTTTGTGCATTTTTATCTGGGTTCTCAGCCAGGGACACATGAGAATCTCAGGAGCTGGGGTGAAGATGGGGGTAAAGGAAGAACAGAGGCAGCAGGTGTGCTACTTCCATTGTGATCCTGACATTTGCTCCCCTGTCTAGTTTGTGACAAAACGACCAAACCACCAGTTTATAATAGTGATTTGGGTGTGTACCATATACGTAAAGTAGAAGTTATATTAAAGATGAATAAAAATGGAATTACCTAGGATTTTCCAGAGAAATTAAAGCACATGTCTACAAAGATTTGCACACAGATATCAAATATTCATTATAATCCGAAACTGCAAATAACCCAAAAGTCCACTCTGAATGAGTGGATTAAAAGGAAACATATGTGCCCAACACATAGATGACTCTCAAAAACATTCTGAGTGAAAGCCATATATAAAAGATAGTTCCATTTATATAAAATTCTGTGGAAGTTCCCTGGTGGCACAGTGGTTAAGAATCCGCCTGCCAATGCAGGGGACATGGGTTCAATCCCTCGTCTGGGAAGATCCCACATGCTGCGGAGCAACTAAGCCCGTGCACCACAACTACTGAGCCAGCGCTCTAGAGCCCGGGAGCCACAACTACTGAGCCCACGTGCCACAACTACTGAAGCTCGTGAGCCTAGAGCCCACGCTCCACAACAAGAGAAGCCACCACAGTGAGAAGCCCGCACACCGCAATGAAGAGTAGCCCCTGCTCTCTGCAACTAGAGAAAGCCCACGCAGCAACGAAGAGCCAAAACGGTCAAAAATAAATAAATAATAAAATTCTTGTAAACTAATTTATACTGACAGAAAACAGATTAGTGATTGCCTTGGGGACCAGGGGTGGGTGGAGGGATGGACTGAACTGCAAAGGGAAATGAGGAAACTTTTTCCATGATGGAAATACAATGTATCTTGGTTGTGGTGTTGGTTTCACGATGTATACATTTTTTCCAAACTCATTGAGCTGCAAAATTTTTAATAACTGCAGATTATACATAAGTATGCCTTAATAAAATTGATAAAAAATTGAATTAACAACTCCAACTCCTAGATGCCAGCAAATCTCATGGAGCATTTCTCGTGTAGTTAAAACCACTCACCAACTCAAATCCATGTCCTTTGAGTTGCTCTTTTAGGGAGAATGATGAAATAGTACTGATCCCTCAACACTATTCTCTCCCTTGGGCCTCTGAATAGGGCTTTTAAGAGGCAGTCAGAAGTACACTGCAAAGCTAAAGTGTCATGCGGAGACTGGGGTAATGACCTCAGCCTCATGAGAACCATACCCTAATCCATCTTAACACCTGATAGACCAAGTTCATGTGGTCTGACTTATCCAAAGGGTATATCCAGATTCTACACTCTGTGGCTTAGATAAAACAGACTGTGTGTTATGCACAGTTCCCTGCAAGCAAGCTATAATTCCTCTCTTTACTGTAGATCACTGGTCAGCCATTGAAAACTCTACGCTAACCAACTAAACTAACAAACTTTTTAGAAAGAAGACAATGATACGTCTAAGGTTCCAGAGAAATAATGTTTCAAATTTATTTTACAACTAATATGCCTCAGTACACATTTGTATAGAAGCCAAGATGATCTGTGTTGTGTGTTCTAAAATCCAATTATACACTAATTTCTAGTTTTTATTTCCATTTTTAGTGCCTTAGTTTTTAAATCAACAAACGTTTTTAAAAGGTCTGTGAAATGTAAGCAAATACTTTGCAATGACCACAGTTCTTTATAACCTCATGGTAACATAAGATCTTTAAGACTCTTATTGTGAATCAGTGATTTGCAAAAGCACTCGACCAAATTAAGCACTTTAGAACAGACTGTTCACTTGCTTTCTAACCAACAGGCATGAATATTGTGTATCATCTTCGGTACCTTCTATTGTAAATATTTTATGAAATCCATACTTTTTAGAAAATTAAGTTCATCATGACCTGCAAGATAAAGAGTAAGACCACAGAACATGTCCTAAGAGTAAAGAAGTATAGTCAAAAAGTTTGTGTTAGGGACTTCCCTCGTGGCACAGTGGTTAAAGAATCTGCCTGCCAATGCAGGGTACGTGGGTTCCAGCCCTGCTCTGGGAAGATGCCACATGCCACGGAGCAACTAAGCCCGTGCGCCACAACTACTGAGCCTGCGCTCTAGAGCCCACGAGCCACAACTACTGAGCCCCTGAGCCACAACTACTGAAGCCTGCGCACCTAGAGCCCGTGCCCTGCAACAAGAGAAGTTACCGGAGAAGCCCGTGCACCGCATCGAAGAGTAGCCCCCGCTCACTGCAACTAGAGAAAGCCCATGTGCAGCAATGAAGACCCAATGCAGCCAAAAATAAATAAATTAAAAACAAAAAAAATTTTCTTAAAAAGAAAAAAGAAAAAATAGTTTGTGTTAAATTTTTAAAAAATGAGTTTGCCTTGGAAATTCTACATTTTTCCTACAGTTGTGCAAAAACATTGTGGACTCAGTTTTGCTGCATTTGGACTAAGCTGCAAAAGAAGTATGATGTGTTTAAGTTGTTGTGAGTAGAATGTTTTTAAAAAATAATTATTTGTTCCAGATAATAACTTTCTAGAGAAGCCAAACCCTTGAAACCCTTGAAACAAACAGAACTGAAACACTTGATCAATTTTTATTTCAAAATGTCTACAAAGTTATAATTCTCCATTATACAAATAATTTTTCAAAATTCAGACATTATTTAAATGTAAGCCAAAGTCCTTATACAAACAGAATACACACAAAGATCAAAAATATACATATTCTCTCAGCAAACTTTGTTACATAAATAAGAAAAGTATATACAAAAGCTGGTATTTTCAATCTAAAGAACAATTATTTTAACACTGTAACCATATACAGAAGGTACTAAAATAAAAACAAACACCACAGAAAAAGTTAAAGGAATAACAAATTCATTTTATGACATCTACAACTGTAAACATACATAAAGCCAATCTTGGGGGGGAAATGTATACTTCACACTTATATCTTAATTTTTACTTCACTTTATTAATTTTTAAGAATATTCTCTGGATAGGTGAAGTTCACAATTCTACCAGCTACCCCTGACACCTAATACAAGTTAGAACATGTGAAGAACTATATACTCTATGTCTTTGTACTTTGGGACAGATGCAAAATGAATTCTTCAAAAGTTAAATTTTTATGAACCTATGTTAAAAATTTTCCAAGTAAATTGAATTGGCTATTGAAAAATCAAACAATTCTTTTTAGGTAGGAAATGTTAGAAAAAAATCCAAACACTTGCAGTCTTAACATAGTAAAGCCATAAAGAAGATTATGACAGTGGTTCCCCTAGATAAAAGCAACTTAACTAGGTGTATGTCTAATTATGTTTTGCCCCAGAAATTCTCCTTCCTTCTCTGAGCTCGTGCCAGAGTTTGAAAAGCCCGGAGACTAGAAGCTGCAGAGCGAGCAGAAATCTCAGATAATCTGTCCTCATCTGCAACGAAAGAATTATATTCAGTGCAAAAAATATGTCTTATAAAAATACTATGTTTCAAAACATTAACAGCAAATTAAAAGCATCAAGCTTTGTAATGTCAATATTGACTCTGTCAGAAATCAGTAATCTATTAAAATATAAGATATCAACATTTTTAGGATAGTTCACAGTAATTTTCGGAGATTATCATATTTAGAAATCAAACATGTTAATGTTAAATGAGCATTCTGTTTCCTTCCTGAAATCCCACTATGTCATTAACTAAACACTTGAACTGTGATTTCAGTAGTACTCGGAAACAGTTCATCATCATATTGTCTTGTCCTACTTTAAAAAGCACAGCTGTTTGAGCAGAAGAACTTTAATGTTTTAAAAATGAAAGGCCATACCTTAACATGGTACTCACATCACATTTCTAAAATAATTTCACTTAATGTAGAAATAATGTCTGACTTTAATACACTACCCTTCATTATTAGTGAAATTCCACAATCTGAGCAAGCAAATCTCTTATCAAGTTATTTGTAAACACTGTTCTTCCATTAAAAAGAAAACAGAACTGGACTCAAAGTGTCCAGATATTGGCATTTCAAAACATAGCAACTGGATTTCCAGCTCACTGAATTCTGAAAATAGTCTCAAACTTGCTAAGAGAAAACCTTTAATGTGTGTGAAGCTATAATACATAAAGTATTAATTCAAATTTACTTTCAAATTCAAAATTTATAAATTTAATAATTTCATACTTCTTAGGGTGAATTTAAAATAGTAATTTCAATTGTTCAACACTGAGAATTCAAAATTCCTCCTGCCACTATTAGAAGCAAATGAATTTGTCAAAACGAAAGAAAAAAAATTCATTTTCCCTAATTATATATATTTTAAGAATATACAGACATATGAAAAAAATGATGGATATAATGCTAGGCCGAATTCCTGAGCCACCAAGCTACCTAGGGTGTAAAACAGAGTACTGACCTTAGGTGTGATGCTAGGCACAATCTCTTGCCAACTGTTTGTTTTAAAAAAGATTCTTCAAGGCTTATTTCCCAGTTTACTCGTTTATAAAATGGGGATAATTTCACCCTCTTCACAGGGTTTCAAGGTTCTAATGAAATGACATCTGTGGAAGTACTTTGTAAACTATAAAGTGCTAACCAAATGTAAAATCATACTATTATGAACTACTATATAATAAAACATTATACTTTTATCTTGTGTTCTTTGACTATTAAAATACCTTCATCATTAAAGGCTTCTTGCTGAGGTAACTGGAAATTGTTCATCCTTGATTTTCCCACTTAAAAAAAAAAAAGCCAGAAAAAATTATCCTTCAAAGCCACCCAACAGTGTATCTTATTTATAGTCAACTCTAAGTGAAGGTAGGCTGTCAGAAAATTTATTAATTTTATAACTTTAATAGAAATTAGTGCCAAAGGGCCATTCATTAATTCATAATGTACTTAGAAAATATGTAAACAAACAATGGATAATCTCCTGGGATTCTTTTCAATGATAATACTGATCTTTTCTAACTTTAAAGAAATACAGTAAGCTTCTCTTTAAAGATGGCAGTTGGACTACACACTTCTACAAAAGTGATATAAACCCACAGGACAGCGAAAATGGGAAACAAGAAAACAGCAACAAAATTTTGGAAAGTGGAAAGCAAATGCAAGGGCAGTGAGTATGTGGTCATCATAGCCAAGTGAGCTGAATCCTAAGGCAGCAGAGGAGGGAAACCAAGAAGCAACCAATTTGCTCCCCTGATGGCTGGGGTTTTGGGAGTTCTGAGTACCACTGAGAGTTAGAGCAAAGGTAAAACTGAATCAGGAATCTAGTTGAAAGTCTTTCTACAAAAGTCTGCCAGATCCTTCTTCAAATTTGTACAGCAGGGTAACTCTCCCAAAAGAGGAATGGAGGTCTCATTGCTAGAGAAGGTTTATCAGAGCTACTTTGACTGAAGGACACCAGATTCAACCGGGGGCACATATTCAAAATAGGGGTATTATATATATCATTTATCTCCTCAAACAGATAAAACATGCCATCTTGGATACTGTATAAAAGAAGTATGTAGTGTTTAAAAAATCTTAGAAATTAAAAATATAGCAAAATATCATTTAAAAACTCAAGTAGAAGATAAAAATTAGTGACCCTTTAAAATTGAAACAAAAAGACAGAGATGGAAAATAGGAGAGGTAAGATAAGAAAATATCATGTTCAACATGTCCAACATCTGAAAAATAGTAGTGCTGGAAGGAAGAAATAGAAAGTGGAGAGGAAGAAATTACTGACTAAATAACTTAAGAAAATTTCCCAGAATTGAGGAACATGACTTTTCAGATTGAAAAGGTCTAGTGAGTACTAGCAAAATGAATGAAAAGGGACCCACTATAAAATTTCAGAGCACTGGGTATAAAGAGAAGATGCCAAGAGCTGCCAGGAAAAAAAAGAAAGCCACATACAAAAGATCAAAAATAAAAAGAGCTTCAGACTTCTCAGTAATAATAGTGGACGTTAGAAAACAGCAGAGCAACACCTAATAAAACCAAAGGAAAATATTTTATGACCTTGAATTCTACATCCAGGCAACATTTGGTAATGTCTGGAGACATCTTTGGTTGTCACGCCTGGGGAAGAGGTGCTATGGCACCTAGTGGGCTGCCTGTACGTTTACGGGAAAGAACATGAGAGACACCTCACACTTAGACCAAAGTGAACTTGGGTACAGCACAACTGAGTGTTCCAGAGATGAGATTTTTTCTATTTAAAGAAATCTATTACATTAACTAAAAAACTAAATAACACAATTTATTAATATATAGTACATACTCAGAACCTTTGTATCCATCAGTATAACACTTTCATTTTAATAGACAAAAAACTAAAGTCCAAGTAATTACCATTATGCTGAAATTCTGGATCTCTCAGGGAGCCCTGAATTCGACGAGAAGGATGCCAGTAGGATGGGGCACAGGGTGGAGATGGAGACTGCCCAGGTGTGTTAGTTGGATTTTCTGGAATTTTTGAAACTGGAAGAGTTGTCTCAGCAAATTTGGGGATATTGGGCTCAGAATCTTCCCTCAAAGGCAAGGGATCAATTGTTTTTAGACCAGCAGCTGGAGAAGTCAGGAGGGGTATAGCACGACTTTCTTTCTAAATGACAAAAACAAAACAAAATACATATATGTGTGTGTACATATATAAACAAAACAAACATTCAAACACACAAAAGTATATAACCATAAAAGCAGTAGGAAAAAATATGGGGAAAATTTATGTAACCTCCATGTGGGGAAGGTTTTATAAGCCTAACAACCAATATAGATAAAGATATTTAGCTAAGTAAAAACAAAAAATATATAAATATTTAAAAAATAAAAGAAAAATGACAAACTTGGGGAAAATATACAACTTACTGGACTGACAATGAATTATTATCACTGTTACATAAATATTTCTTTACAAGTAGTAAGATAAACCTAATTTAAAGGTAGAAAAAGGATACATATCAGCAATTCATATACATACAAATTACAAATAGCAAACATATTCCACACCTCACTGATAATCAAATAATTTCAAAATAAAAGCAAGGACGTAGTAATTTTTCACTTACCAAATTACAAAGATAAATTAAAACAAACAAACAAACTATAATACCCTGAGCTGACAAGGATGTAGAAAAACTGGCACTCTTAACCAGTGTTACTGGTAGGACAACCTTCCAGGGGAGCTGGCAAAATATAGCAAAAACCTTAATACTGTGGCTCTTTGACCACACAATTAATACTTACGGAGTATTTACATAAAAATAGGTAACAACAATATGAACAAAAATGCAGGTAAAGAATGGATTTCTTGGGCTTCCCTGGTGGCGCAGTGCTTGAGGGTCCGCCTGCCGATGCAGGAGACGCGGGTTCGTGCCCCGTTTCGGGAAGATCCCACGTGCCGCGGAGCGGCTGGGCCCGTGGGCCATGGCCGCTGAGCCTGCGCGTCCGGAGCCTGTGCTCCGCAAATGGGAGAGGCCACAACAGTGAGAGGCCCGCATAACGCAAGGAAAAAAAAAAAAAAAAAAGAATGGATTTCTTTAGACCATTTTTTCAAAATAAAGTAAAACTAAAAAATAACAATAGGCATCTAGTTTTAAAAAATACATTTCAACAATAAGCATCTAGTGAAAAACAAAACTATAGTATAACTACAGTTCGTACATCATGTCACAATTAAAAATCAGATTATAAATTAATGGTATGGAAGTATGTTCACAATACATTGCTAGGTGAGAAAAATATATTATGAAAACTTACCTACAGTATAATAAACAAATACACTATATATTTAAACTCAAATTCAACAACGGATGTTTCTGAACAGTAGGTATGAATTACCTTCTTTTTTGGTTTTGTCAGTATTTTCTATTTTTCCACAATGATAATATATCATGAATAGAAAAGTCCCTGTATAATTTTACTTTTTAGGAGAATGTAAACAAGTAAAATCAAATATAGCTTCAAACTTTCCTGATCATTCCTTGTAATTGTTGCCTTTAGTTATTAACTTTGAGTTTATCAATGTAATGTTCAAAACATTGCTTTCTGACCTTAGGCATCATTTTCTGCAATTAGAGGGCTTATTGCTTCAAAGGGGATATAGCCTGGGGTCTCATCCAAAAAACAAATATTTTTAAATCAAGATCTAAGATAAAACCACAAATTTTCCACTTGCTTCCCTTTTTTTTTTTTTTTTTTTTTTTTTTTGCGGTACGGGGGCCTCTCCCTGTTGTGGCCTCTCCCTGTTGTGGCCTCTCCCGTTGCGGAGCACAGGCTCTGGACGCACAGGCTCAGCAGCCATGGCTCACAGGCCCAGCCGCTCCACGGCATGTGGGATCTTCCCGGACCGGGGCACGAACCCGCATCCCCTGCATCGGCAGGCGGACTCTCAACCACTGCGCCACCAGGGAAGCCCCTGCTTCCCTTTTTAATTACAAAGATCTCTTATGAAAATCGTTCTTTTGGTTTTTTTCTTTTTGTACACATATATGTAGAATTTGGAATTTCTGTCAAATTGGTTTCATTATTGTTAAAACCTGAATTAAATCTATAGAATATTTGTAATACATGGGGTTCCCAGGTTTAATTTAACGGACTTCATGATCTGTTCTTGAACCTAAAAGCCTCCTTATTGGCCTCACTGCTTCTACTCTCCCCCAGTATAGCCCATTCTCCACAGAGTAGCCAGAGTGATTTTAGTTATCAAATGTATCAGAGATCTATATTTGCTTTACTGCTTAAAATCCTCCAAGAGCTTCCCAGTGCCATCAGAACATCCCACTCCTTACCCAGCTCCCTTGCCCACTCCCTTTCCACCCTCATTCCCCTGCTTTCTCCAAGCTCCAGTCACACAGACCTTTTCACTCTCGATGAAACGCTCACTGTTGTTCACCTGCACTTGCTGTTCCTTCTACCTGGAAAACAATCTCCAGCCCAGATCTCTGCATGGGCACCTCCCTCATCAGCCAGGTCTTGCTAAAATGTCACCTCCTCAGAGGTGCCTGTCCTGATGACCCAAACTAAAGCAGTCTCACCCACCCCTTGGAGGTCATTTTCAGTTTTATTTCATTGATAGCACTTACTACTATCTGAAATTCTTTTTTAAAAAATCATTTGTCTACTTCTCCCAATGAAAATGTAAGTTCCACGATCACAGGAATTTTATCTTGATTACCAATGAATCCCCAGATCCCAGAACAGTGTTTGATACATAGTAAGAGCACAGTAAATTCTGAACTGAGTGAATGAAAATGAAACTCCTGATATTCCCCTCCAAAGATGGCTTTCGTGCAGCGTTCTCTTAATCAGTGCGGGGCACTCTCCATCAATCCTGCTGGGCAAGTCAGAAACCTAGAAGTCATTATCCAACCCAGCTCCAGGCCTTGACATTGTTCCCCTTACACAATTCTTCAGTTTCACTCACGTCTATGCCCACCCTCTTTAGTCCAAGCTATCACAGCTCCTATCTGGATTACTGCAATGGGCTCTCAAAGGTATCCACAGTCCACTCTTGCCTTCCACGGCAGCCAGAGAGATCTTGCAAAACATAAATCAATCACAACACTCCCATATTTAAAATATTTCAGTCGTTTTCCATTTTACTTGAGATGAAAGAAATTCTCAATATTGCTGTCTCTTCCAGTCTCATCTTGCACCTGCTCCCTGCCACACACTGTACTGGTCTTTGTTTCCTAAAACTCTGTGTCCATGGGACTTCCCTGGCAGTCCAGTGGTTAAGACTTCACCTTCCAATGCAGGGGGTGCGGGTTCGATCTCTGGTCAGGCAGCTAAGATCCCACATGCCTCGTGGCCAGAAAACCAAAACATAAAACAGAAGCAATATTGTAACAAATTCAATAAAGACTTAAAAAAAATGGTCCACATCAAAAAAAAAAATTAAAAACAAAAAAACTCTATGCCCTTTCTCTCCACAGGACTGCGGCATACGCTACACTTCCCCTCCCCTCCCTTTTTACCTGGTTAACTCTTCTTCCTCTATATCTCAACTCAATTATGACTTCTTCAAAGAAGCATCCTTGACTTTCAAGAAGCTCCCTGATCTCCATGACTAGGTCAATTCCTTCCAGGACAGCACTATATACTTCTTTGAAAGTATATAGTGGGGGTGTGATTCTCACAAGACTGTAGGTTCAACAAAATCATGTACCATGTCTATTTTTGCTCATTATCACAACCACAGCATCTAGCATGTAAGTAAATGGATAAGAAACATCTGCTGAATGAATGAAGTGAGCTAACATACACTTGGGTTTTTAATATCATTTTTTAAATGTACAGATGGTACTTGACTATCAAACCAATATCATGAGAATTCTACTCTCAAGTCTTGTGAGTCAATGTTGTTTAGGGGTTAAAAATGTGGGCTCTGAGAACAGACTGCCTGGGGATAAATCCTACTCTACCATTATGAAGACTGAACAAATTAACACATGTAAAGTACTTAGCACAGAGCCTAGAACATAGTAAGTGCTCAGTAAATGCTAGCTATTATGATCATCCCCACAGAAGTTCCCCAAATTGCTGCTGCCCCACAACACTCCCACAATTCAAGGTGAAAATATTTCTGGATAATATAATATAGTCTTCCTAATTCCTATGGTAAAAAAAAAAGAGATACAGAATGATATTAACCAAGGGCAACTGAGTGACAGGGATAATTCACTGCAAACTGAATGACTTACAGATTTAATGTTATTATAATAGTAGCTTCTGTAAGAAAACAAAGGAAAAAATGACTGTGTTCAGTGAGTTTAATGACCCCTCTGCCTACCAGCAACCAAGGGGTAGACAATGGAAAATAACCAAATCTAGCTCCTGGTACAGCTACTGCTATGATCCAAATGACCATCACCTCTTGCCTGGATATTGTAACTGACTAACCAGTTTCAAGCCCTTGCTCTTGCACCCCTACTGTCTATTCCCAATACAGTTGCCAGAGTGACCTTGGAAAAACCCAAGTCAAATCATATCACTCCTCTGCCCCTCTAAAGGCTTTCCATTTCATTCAGAATAAAATTCAAAGTTTTTGCTATGACCTATAAGGCCCTACACAATTTAGTTCCTCATTATGCCTCTGACCTCATTGCCCATCCTGTTCTCCCTTTCTTGCTCTCAGCTCCACTCCTGCCTGTTCCTCAAAGAATCAGGTACCTTCTCACCTGGAGGACTTTGCACTTGCTATTCTTTTTGCCTGGAATGCCTTCCTAGATATGCATATGGGTCAGTCTTTCACCTGCTTCAGATTCTGCTCAAATGTTACCCTCTCAGTGAGAACTTCCCTCGCCACCTCCTACTCACTTCCCCCGCTTTATTTTTCTCCTTAGTTCTTATCACTGTCTAAAATACTATGCATTTTACCTAGTTATCCTGTTTATTGTCTCTCTCCTCCACTAGAATGTAAGTTCAGTGAGGGCCAGGATTTTTACCTGCTCCTTTCACTGCTACATCTCTAGTGTTAAATCAGCACCTGGAACATAGCTGGAACAAAACTGTCACAGAAGATGCTCAATCATAGTATTGTTTTTCTTCTCTCTCTTCCTGTTGTCACTACTGACAAAAATTGAAAGTATAGCAGAAATACAGTGCCACTACCCAAAAAAATAATTCAATGCCTTTGCCTTCTGAAAGTAAGTTAAGAGCATCATCTCCATATATGATAGGCAGAATTTTCTAAAATCTGAACCTCTCATTCACTTATTGCATGTGACTAAAATAATCACTTCCTGAAGAGATGTTTTTCTCCAAAATATAAATATTTACCTTCCTAAAATCATTCTTCAAAGTTTCTAAGCCATCCTGAGAGGACATTCTTTTTCTCTGTTCTGCAACTGAAGGCTTCATTTTAGATGGAGACACTAAAACAGCACCACCTGGAAAAATGCAAAAGATGTTATATTTTGATTAAACTAAATTATCATGTAGAGAAAGCAGGTGAAATAAGAACTGCACAGTGTTTGCCTGTTACCAACAGCTGGAGTGGTAAGATCGTGATGAGTCCTCTGGATTCCACCAAGTTCTCTTAGCTTCGGAGTAGGAAGCCTGCCTCCTTTTCCTGAGGACACAGAAGACGACTCCGACCTACAAATTAAAACAATTACGAAGCATGTCCTCCAGAAAATATAATAAAAAAATACTTTGCCATCATTATTCAATTAAACTATAAACATATAAGAGAAGGCCATTTAGTTTCTGAAAAAAATAAACAAATCTACACACAGTTAAGAGTAACTGAATATTGGAAGAGGTGAGATCACTGCAAGTCAGCAACACACCAGAGAATTCTTCCATTAAATCAGAACCTAAGTTCCATATTAGCTGCAAAACTCACGAATGAATGATAAGGGCGTTGGACTATGGACAAAAAAATACCATAACCAATGGCAGAGAACCACTCCACAAAGCATTCTGCATATAAATCAATGGAAATTAGCTATTTGCAGAAATCACTTATTTTATTAAAAAAAATTTTTTAACATCTTTATTGGAGTATAATTGCTTTACAATGGTGTGTTAGTTTCTGCTGTATAACAAAGTGAATCAGCTATACATATACGTATGTTCCCATATCTCTTCCCTCCTGCATCTCCTTCCCACCCTCCCTATCCCACCCCTCTAGGTGGAAACAAAGCACCAAGCTGATCTCCCTGTGCTATGCAGCTGCTTCCCACTAGCTATCTATTTTACATTTGGTAGGAAATCACTTATTTTAATATTACAAAACATCTTTTCTTTCTTTTTGGTAGTATAACCATCTGAGAGTAAAGAATATCAGTTATTTTCTTCAAGTCACAAAGTCATACTTCCAGAGATATCTAGCAAATCATAATTAGGAGGATATAAATGAAAATAACCCTAACTACTTCCTCCCCAAGTAGCTCAATGTTCAAGTCTTCAATTACCAAGTAGTGGTGACTCAAATACCTGAGTGAATCAAATTATATAAACCATAAAGAAATGCCTATTTCATGACATTAAAGTAAAATCTGCTCTTTATTAGTCATAAAACCAAAGTATAAACCACTATAATTAATTAGTGACAAAATGAAATACATATTAACTGTGAACAATAATGCGTCTATATACTGATTAATTTAAAACGCTCACCCTTCTTTTATCTTGTCTGCTTTAGATTTTTCCTGTACTTCCAACTTCCCTAGCTCTCCCACATTAACCTGCTTGTCCCTTTCCTCCTCTTCCTCCTCCTCTCTTGGCTGTTTCTGTGTGTCTTCAGTGGTGTTCTCTGCATCCCAAGCCAGACGCCTTCTAACAGGTATGGGAGCATCTGACACACCCAATTTCTCTGTGGTAGTTTTCTGGGGCTGTTCTTCCAAGATAGGTCTTTTTTCTTCTAGTTTTGTAGAAGGACATTTCTGCAAAGTCTTATGGCTTGTAGGATCTCTGCATAACAAAAATAAGTTTTATTTTAAATTGAGTAGTTTGAGGTTTCTAATTGATACTTATTTTAATAAGTCTGTCATTGCCTTCCATGGTTCACAACTCTGTTTCCCACTGATATTGCCTTGCCCAGATACTGAAGAAAAAAATCGAATTAAGAGTTCATTTTACAATAGAAGTTAAAGTTACAATCTATTAAAATATTCCAAAATAAATTATATTTATCTCCTTCTACTCCTCCCATCACACATACATGCCTGCACCACTGCTGATAAAACTCACATGTATCTCTCGAGTGGCCTGTGCATACATAAACTAGGACCCCCTCACATGGTCTAACTTGTTCAGTTACTCAGTTAGGGTTTGTGCACAAACTCATGTGTACTTATGGATCAAATAAGCTGATTCCAATTTTATATTTTAGATATATTAATCTTTTCAAGTCATTGTTAAAAAACAGATTTTGTGATGAACTTTTAAAATCAGATGTCACATAAGTAGAATTTATAGTTAATCTGGTACGTATGGCTACACTAATACACTATAAAAACCAAAAACTATTTCATTTGCTACAAATCGATGTGCTATTCCTCTTAGAAACAGTTTAATTGTGTTCACTTTAAAACCCAAAATAGCAGAGAATTCTTCCGTAGAATCAGGGTGGAAGTTCCATATTAACCACAAAAATCCATTAATGAATGATAATGGAAATGTACTAATAGATAATATTCTCTAAGTTTTTATTATTGTTACCTTTTTCTTTTTGTTTTACTTTTTAAAGTTTTTTACGTCTACTGTATAGTCATCCCTAGTCTACTCTTAATTGCTAAGAAGGAATTTTATAAAATCCAATCTTCCAGATTTAAATTATGTATTATTTCTACCCAAGTGTGTAAAGCAAGTATGTATAGCTTTACTTTTCACAGAGAATAAACTAAAAATAATGAAATGTAATAAGTGGCTGGTATATTTCCATTAGACTAGACAACTTTTGAGTCTTCATATCATTTTCCTATGTAATTCCATGATCTACATAATCTATAACATACTTTTCCACCATCCACAAATAACATCTCACCCAGCAAGATCTAGTGCTCTAATGTTGCTACTAATGGTTCCTTCTGAGCTCGTGGTCGAGGAGACATCCCAACAGCGGTTGTTTTCAGACAGAATCTGATTCAGATGGTCCCGAGAAAAATGAGTTCCCTGAACTCGTTTCCTATAAAACTCAGCCTTCTCTCGGAGTTCTTTAACCTATGCAGGAGAGTTGAGATATCATGTATCATTGTAAATGCTCCTTTGCAAATATCACCAAGTAGCATATCCAAGACATTGTACAAATACAGCCAGAGACCAAGGAGAAAGAAAGGCAAAAGTAGCCACATACATTCATCAGACTATGTGCATTTTTAAGCAGAAATTAAAACAGTCAAGCTGATGCACAGTGCAGTTATTTTACTTCAGGCCAGCAGGCAGGGAGAAATTTGCAGCAGCTAAGAAAAATATTGACACCTACTTCTTACTTCAACTGAAATTACACAAGTACTCTATGCATTATTACAGATTTAAAAACTCAAAAGCAACCAACCTCCGCATACCACATGGCATTTAGAGAACCCTAGGGGAGGAATACAGAAACATACTTAATGACAGGTTAATGCCATAATTGAATATTAATGGGAATCACTGAAATACCTTATTATTTTTCCTTCTAAATATATACCAAACTTGTCAGTCAATTTTTTTTTAGTATTTTCAGTAGCATTTAATTCAGTAACCAAGATACTTTAACATTGCCTTGAAAATCAACCACATTCTTGCATGGGTGGAATGCTGTCTGCAACAAGGTAACCTAATTACTATTTCCCCACCTCTGGAAGAGTACTGACATGCCAGAAACCCCTAGCCCCAGTCTTTACTTCTAGGCTTATATACACCTGCTGTTACTACTACAGAAGCTCCACTGAGAGAGTCATGAGGCTTTCCTCTCCACATTCCTCAACATTCCCTTGTAATCAGCAAAACCAGTATTAAATACATAATTTAAAAGAATACCCCACAAAATAATAACTGTAATATATTCGACAAAGCAACAGGATACCAAAAAAAGGTTCTGATGAACTACTGATATAAGGTGACTTGAATTCCCTAATATGCAAATAACATATTTTCACACGAAAAGGAGTCTTTTATACTCATTGAAACCCTTTCATTTTATACATCATACTGCCACCTTCTGGCTTCCCTGAATACAATTCCACAATGTAAAAAAATTAAGTTGCAGCTTAAAAGTTTTGAATAATCTGCTTAAAATAATTTATTCTCAAAAAACTGTATAATTGTTCCTATCATAAATACAAATATTAGCCTTAAAAGGATACCTGGATACTGTCTGCTAAAATCGCTTTTCTCATATTATATAACAACCTAAATGGGAAAAGAATAGATACATGTGTATGTATAACTGAATCACTTTGCTGTACAACTGAAATTATCACAAAATTGTTAATCAACTATACTCCAATATAAAATAAAAAGTTAAAAAAATAAAAGCAAAAAAAAAACTGCTTTTCTCTCACTTAAAGGCAAAAAAGCAAATAATGAAAATTGGCATTGCAAAAGCAACTGGAGAAACATATCCTCAGCTCCTTAAGGAAATACTACTGATGCAGAGGGATGCAAGTGCTACATCTCTAGGGAATCAGACAAAGCAAAGGACAGCGCCTGCCAGGGCAAAAGAAAACACATAATCCCAACAGAGTCCTACTGCTCTAATGAACCAAACCTGAAACATTCCTAAAAGATAATTCAAAATATTGTTTTCTTCACTGTTAAAAAAATTAAGCCATGTTCATTTATCATTTTTTCAACTCTTATACTTTAAAGAAAATTACTAATAATGGTTTTTGCATTTAATAGGTATCGAGTCTGTTGAACTCTTAACCAGTATATTCTGAATGCATGGGAAGCTTGTAATAAGTGCCTTGATATAATCCGGATTTTATTTCTAATAAGTACCCCCATGCTTCAAATGTGTCATGGTCACTCCATCACCTACATGATAAAATCTTCATGCCTTAGGATCACTTCCTCCCCCCCTGGGTTCTCAAAGCCCTTGGTGCATATCCCCACTAGTACTTACTTCATTCTTCTGGAATTATTGCTTGTGTCATTCTTCCCCATTAACCTATGAACTCCTTGAGGTGAGGGAGAGTGTAGCCTTTCAACATTGATTCCACAACCTGTCCTGAGTATGGACTAAGCGCTAGGCCTGAGCTAGACGGCTGGTAGCAAAGATAAGCAAGAAAGTTCCTGCACTCAATGTGCTCACAATCTGGTAGAGCAGGCCGACCTCCTCCTATATGATAAATCATTATCATAATATTGGTACGATCTATGCCATAATAAACAAATGAGATATAAACTGAAGGAGTGGTTTCAAAAGGGGGTCCTACCAGTCCTGCACTGTGTGTAAGGTGGAGCGGGAAGGAGCTGCAGAGAAGGCTGCATTCTATCCATACAGGAGGACCTCACTGATTGATGAATGAGAGGATGGACGAACATCCCCTCCATGTACACAGTGACCTAGTTTTATCTGACATCAACTTTTTTTAAAGAAGGGAGGGGAGATACAGAAATTCTGTAAAACTTTATTTAGTTCTATTTGTTACTGACATTCAAAACTCAATGTTTTAAATTGACTTTATCAGCAATCTTTGTTAATAATCTTAGTACTAATGTTATATTTTACAAATACATGATTTTAAACTTCTGTAGTCCTAAACTCAGATGAAAAAATAGGACGCTGATATTTCCAAAGTAAGGTGTTCTACTAGAAAGAGAAAAAAAATCAATGGTGTGAACTCAGTATTAAAAACAATCCCTACAGGCAAAAAAAGGAGCCACTAAAAATGATATGAATAAACCATGCCTAACTCAGTTAAAGCCACACACACACCCCTTTTCAGGTCAAGTAACACCATCAGGTTACATAATATTAAATGCTATAAGTAGAACGTTTTCCTTTCTGGATTTCTTTTCCCAAATTAAGAATTCAACTAAGTTGTTTAAAATTTATATGTGAAAAATTCAAACTCAGAAAACTGGGGAATAAAATACTCCTTTTCCCAAAATCATCCCCTGAAAATGAAGAGTCATCTTATACCTAAAAGTCCTTACAATGTCTGTCAAATTACAGAATGTCTCAATGTGGCACTTCATCTTGAAACAAAGTCCTATTTCTGGAAGACACATTAGAAAAAAAATTATCTCAACCAATGCAGTTGGGAGGATTAGAAGACTACCTAACAATCAGGAAAAAAAGACATTTAACACAGATCTAGTAGTTATTCTGAGGATTGGACTTAACAGTTGCAGTTGCTGATTATTATTAAAAAACAGCCTTCAAGCAAGCATTTTAAAGAGGAATAGAGCCACTGGTTATAGTATAGAGATAATAAATATACAACCACTGGACAAAAAAAACCAACTACCCTAATGTTATGTGAATAGGAACTTGGGACACAGGATAAAATATCTAGTGACTAGACTATAAATAGATTAAAAAAGAACAATATCTCAAAGAAGAAAGAGGGAAATGAAGATGATACATGGACTAGAAAACCGTAACATGATTCAAAGTGTGTTAATATTCTAATGATAAAAAAGTCGTTGATGTCCAAATGCATTTGACGAGTGTGAATAATATTCCATGAAATGTTAGGAGTAGGAAAATGAGGGAGTACCTTATACGTAGGTACCTCAAAATCAGCCACATACAGTAAGTATCTTCCAGGGAAAAAAATGTAAGATATAAGAAAATATGGCCCATATTAAATGTCTATGACCTGATCGACTAAAACTATTATCACTATCAGTGATCGCTAACCTCATAACTAAAAATTCTTATTCTTTTCTAACTCCAATTTGTTTTTTTGAATGATTTTCACCATGAAGTTAAGGCAAACTATTCTACTAATTTAAACATTTTCAACCACCTATAGCAATTAATAAAACAAACCTTCAGAAAAGTCACATTACCAAGATATTATAATAGGAAATCTTAAAGACCAATCTTAAATTAACAACAAAACCAAAAATGTTCTCTTCCACAAGGGCAGGATAAGGACTGTCACATTACCACGACTCCAGACATAACAGTCCTCTGAGTCCATTAAACGTTTACATCTGAGGCCTAAATACCAACTCATCTTAGTTCAAAGAAGCCTCAGACTAAGGGATAATCTTTCCAAAACAAGGAGCTTCTCATGAACCCAACCTAGTGAAGTACCGGAACACGACAGGGCAGTGGCTGACACCTATCAACTGGCCACACACGCCCTCTATGGCCACACTCTGTTCCTGCCTTTGCCTGGGGTTTTCCCCCATTCCCCATCAGACTCCTCAGGCACAGAGATCCTCACGGAGGTCTGGCATGGTCAGAAACTGCTCAAGAATTCAAAACTGACTCAATTCCTTTCTTCTGTCATGGCTGCTTTCAATGCTCTCATTTTTAACTTGATTTCACCAAGGTGAGTATAGGAATTTTGCCCCCAGTAATATTCAGTTGGCCGAAAAGTTCGTTCGGGTTTTCTGTAACATCGTATGGAAAAACCTGAACGAACTTTTTGGCCAACCCAATCGTCACCAGGACATAGGGCTGGGAGCTGCCAGAGCCAAGAGCCAGAAGCTCAAAGTGTCAGAGGCTGATTACACATAATTGTTAGCCATGGTTTAAAGTATGGAGCTAAATAAGATTCATTCCCCATCCAAATTATCCCTCTCTTTATAATGTCTAATCCAAAATGTTCTCATTTAGCTTATTCACACAGAAAGGGGAGCAAACCATCAAGATGTAGTTTAAAAGATGCTAACTACACAATAACCAAAAAAGTTCCACCGTTTATCCTTTGGCTATAAGAAGCTAGTACTAAACTAGCACTCACCAATTCTAGAACTACCCTTTTCTTCCAACCTTTCTTTAGGATCCTCAGAATTTCTCCCATATGTCAGAGTATCCCAACACTAGAACTCAAACCTCTATCAACACAGGCCACTCCTTCCTTGTGCTTGCAGACTGCACTATTAGTACATGCTAACAGGGCACGTCAGTCAGATAAACTAATCTTGAAAAACTAATCAATCTTGAATTGAGAGAGTAGAGGTCTGAAGGTTATAAAATAATCAAATCTATAATGCTACAATTCTATAAACTGACTTCATTAACATAAATATTTGATTTTAAAAACATTTTTAACTTTAAAGACCTTATAATAAACTAATCTCTAAGCTAGTATTTTTTAAAAAAGTAAACACACTGATAAACTATACCCTCATACATACAATTTAAGTTCCTGATACTTTTAGTGCTATTACCGCATCATACATTTTCATACTGTCGTCTCTATTACTAGGTGAAACTATTGTGAAATCAAACTGATATAGTGCCAAAGAACATGGCTTCCTGAGTTTATGTACTCACCTGATTTGGTATGTTTTCCTTCACACGTGTCCAAGTCCCAGCTTTATATAAATATTGGGCTGGGCTCAGAAATTTTGCTCTATATTCAGAATTCACCTTCCTAACAGAAATGAAATGAGAGTAAATATTTCACCATATTGATCATCTAAATACCATGATATTTTTCTTACAAAATACATACCCAAGCCTTTGATGTCTCCAAGGAGTAAGTTTCTTTTTAGGCTGGTTTGAGTCTTTTGATTCCATCTCTGCTTCTAATTTTAAAGGATCATCTGTTTTATTATACTAAAATGAAAATTTTTAAACTTTTTATGCTCAATTTATGTTATACATTAAAGTGAAAACACAGATGTTATAAAGTATAGCTGGATACTGAATTACAATTCTGTTTTTAAAAGTAAGCTTTAACTACTAAAGATAACATAGAAATCATAAAAAATCAACAAGCAAGTTTTGAAACTAGTGTATCTGGTTAGTTTCTTGAAGTATATAGCTCAGGATATGGTTTCATTTTCTAGCAATAAAAATTTTAGATACCTGGCTAGGAAAAAATTTTAATTAACAAACATCTAAATAAATAAACTTTATGTTAACGACCTATTGAACACTGGTCTTACATTCTCCCTTGATATTCTAAGTTTACATTTAATTGCTCCTCACTGGGACCTTCCACTTAATTACTGTAAGTTAGCACACAGCTTTACTGAATAACTTAATTCTTTTTTTTCAAGAACATCATAGGTCCAAAAAGTATATATATTATTAAATATATGATATAAAATATATATCATATATAATATATATGTATGACTTATATATATACATATATAATTTTTATATATGTATATTTATATATATATATAAATTATTTTACTTTTAGTCATATAATTTTTATTCTTAGAACCCATAACATTTCAGGTATGACATTCCAGGAGATCAAAAAATAGGACTTACCCCTGATTTACCTATAATTTACAATAATTTTAACCTGATGCTGTAACTGAAACAGCTGTAATTTCACACAGAGAAGTACGTGTTTGTATATACCAAGGTAAATCGTGTGAATTATACTGGCTATAATTTGGCATACTAAAGCTATGGTTTAAAATACATGTGTGTATGTGTGTTTCTATCTGATTTCCACTATTATTTTAAAGTATGTGTTTCTATCACCACTGTAACCCCTGGAGCTCACATTACTATAAGGACAATCATTTGATATTAGACATAGCAGACTTACCTGCTGTATTGCTAAGCATTTGCTGCACTGTATTACACTTAATTATTTAGATCTGTCTCCCCACTGACCCAAGAACTGCTTAGGGCTTAGTGTAGTTATCATTGTATTCTCAGTACCTACCTGGTGCCTGGTTTCTACCAGATGCTAGATGAACATTTGACATTTAGTGAATAAATAAACAAATTAGTGAACTAGCTAAAAACAAAATCTCAAATGGTGATAAGTAAAAGGAAATTTGTAAAGTTCCAAATGGTGGTAAGTAAAAGAAAACGTGGACAGTTTCAAATCATGAGGATTTTATTTTGTTGAAATAACTGACAAATACCTTCTTTTCAGGAGATATTGTTTCAAAATTTCCGTTCTCCTTCAAATGATTTCTTCGTTTTGGTTCTTTCACTGGAGATAAACCCTTAAAATTTCTTTTGTATTCAGTTTCATGGATGACTGAGTTACCTTTGAATTGTGGAACAAATTTGCTTTTATTGTGGAAAACCTTAAAAAAAGATTACTTTAGTTTAGTTTTTTGTTAAATACACAGAACTTCAATTGCTTAAAAAATTTCACATATAAAGTTGAATCATAGGATACAAAAAATGGAAAATTATATACGACTGTAATTTCATTTCACATGTCTAATTAACATCCATTGCAACAAAAGCAAAAACAAATGGGATTGCATCAAACTAAAAATCTTCTGTACAGAAAACAATCAACAGAGTGAAGAGACAACATATTAAGTGGGAGAAAATATCTGCATTCATCTCATAAGGGGTCAATATTTAAAATATTTAAGAAACTCAACTCAATAGCAAGAAAACAACCCAATTAAAAAATGGGCAAAGAGGCATAAAAACAGACATATAGATCAATGGAACAGAATAAGGAGTCCAGAAATAAGCTCACGTGTATATGGTCAATTAACCTATGACAAAGGAGCCAAGAACATACAATGGTGAAAGGGTCTCTTCAATAAATGGTGTTGAGAAAATTGGACAGCTACACACAAAAGAATGAAAATGGACCACTGTCTTGTGCCATACATAAAAATTAACTCAAAATGGATTAAAGACTTGAACGTAAACCCTGAAACCATAAAACTTCTGGAAGAAAACATAGGCTAAGCTCCTTGACATGGGTCTCAATGATGGTTTTTTGGATTTGATGCCAAAAACAAAGGCAACCGAAGCAAAAATAAACAAGTGGGACTGGGCTTCCCTGGTGGCGCAGTGGTTGAGAGTCCGCCTGCAGATGCAGGGGACACGGGTTCGTGCCCCGGTCCGGGAAGATCCCACATGACGCGGAGCGGCTGGGCCCGTGAGCCATGGCCACTGGGCCTGCGCGTCCGGAGCCTGTGCTCCGCGAAGGGAGAGGCCACAACGGTGAGAGACCCACGTACCACAAAAAAAAACAAACAAAAAAAAAACAAAACAAAAAAAAACAAGTGGGACTATATCAAACCAAGACACAATATTTTCAAATCATATATCTGATAAAGAGTTAATATTCAAAATAATAAAGAACTCATAAAACTCAATAGAAAAAAGCAATCTGATTAAGAATGGGCAAAGGAACTTTTTTCCAAAGAAGACATACAAATGGCCAACGGGTACATGAACAGGTGCTCAACATCACTAATCATCAAGAAATAAACCAACATCAGTGAGATTTCACCTCACATGTTAGAATGGCTATTATCAAAAATACAAATGGTAACAAGTGTTGGCAAGGATGCAGAGAAAAGGGAACCCCTGTCCACTGCTGGTGGGAATGTAAATTGATATGGCCATTATGGAAAGCAGTATAGAGGTTCCTCAAAAAATTTAAAATAGATCCAGCAACCCCACTTCTAGGTATATATCCAAGGGAAATGAAATCAGTATCTCAAAAGATATCTACACTCCCATGTTCATTATAGCATTATTCACAGTAGCCAAGATATGGAATCAGTCTAAGTGTCCATGGACAGATGAATGGATAAAGAAAATGTATTATTATTCAGCCTTAAAAAAAAAATCCTCTCACCTGCAACAACATGGATGAACCTGGAGAACATATGCTAAGTGAAATGAGCCAGGCACAGAAAGACAAATACTGCATTATATGATCCCACTTATATGTGGAATCTAAAGGAACTCATAGAAGCAGCAAATAGAATGGTGGTTGCCAGGGACCAGGGGGTGGGAGAAATGGGGAGATGTTGGTCAAAGGGTACAAAGTTTCAATTATGCAGGATAAATAAGTTATGGAGATCTGAAGTACAGCATGAATGTAGTTAACAATACTGTATTATATACTTAAAATTTGCTAAAAGGATAGATCTTAAGCGTTCTCACCACACACACAAAAAATGGTAACTATGTGAGGTGATAGATGTGTTAATTAGCTTGATTGTGGTAATCATTTCAGAATGAATACATACGTCAAAACTTCACATCGTACATCATAAATATATCATTTTTGTCAATTAGACCTCGGTAAAGCTGGAGAGAAAATCCAAAGGTCAACTTTCTCTACTCATTACTATGTTTTGAATAATAGTTATTGTAATCAAATAATGCTTAAGCCAAAAGAAATAATGAACCATATCTTTTCTCCCCCAAGTTCCCTACCCCCCATTAGTTTGGTAATGAGAATAGTAAAATAGGCAGATTTTAGTAATATGAAAATACACATTAGCTTTACAAAGCAACTCTGTTGTCAGCTCTGCAGGGTTTTTTTCCTCGACATGAATTTTTTTTCCTCCTAAAACAATAAAAAAGTCTTAACGTTTTGAATATCTGACATATGCATTTGCTCAGGTTTTTTCCTTTGCTTATTTTTAGCTTAAAGCAAGGAAAAAAACAGGCAATTATCATGTTTCTATTTTTAAATGTTTTCTTTTATCCTTAATATTTCATAATATGGTTTCCATTTCATGGTCTATTACCACTGATTACAAAGAAAGCAAATAGAAAAGATATGGAGTTCAAATAAGGTATATTATTGCTTCACAACGCTGAATAATACACCTTCATACAGATCACAACCAAAGAGTATATCTTTTTAAGTACAGTATAACCTCAAGGACTCTTCTGCCAAAAATTGTTCTGACTCTTTTACATATTAATATAAGACATCCTTTCAGAAAACAGGTGCCTGATAAAACAGAACGGAACAGCTCCTTTAGAGGTTCCCTATCAACAAGCTTTGAAAGTTTCTGTCACAGAGCTCTTCAATCCACAGACCCAAAAACTGATATGCTTTCAACTAACAAAGAGCATTTGCTTCCAAAAAAAATTCTCTGAAACCCTCACTAATGAAAGCAATAAAGCTAGTAGTGAAGGTATTGCTAGTGATTTATTTTATATTATACTTCTGATACTATCAAAAGAACATTTCTACATAATGCTTTCACTGAAGTATGCAGAAGTTGTCAATAGGGCTTTGATTTGAATCACCTCTATCTTAAAGGTAAGATATTCTACAAAAATTGAACAGTCACAATTTTTAGGCTGTAAGTAATTTTGTAGGTACACTTTCTATCCAACAACACTTGTGAGCCAGCAAAAGAAGTACTGATTCTATTCACTAGGTTTATAAAGGGTATGTATTGATTTATGTTATTTTATGTGTCCCTAAAATGTTATCTAAATTTCAGTTTTTTAAAAACTGAATAACAAGTAAGCAAGCCTAAAGCTGCTACAATTTGTAGGATAACACTGGTACTATCTTAGTGTAAGATGACATGTTATTGTCTTGCTGAATCTAATTATCCTCTTGGTCCTTATGGGTGTATAAAGTATATAGGTGAGTGAGAAAGAAAAGACTAAGCTGTCATGAGCCTCTGGGGATATTCTAAATGGAAGTATTTCCTACCTAAGCCTAGGAGTATGGTTAAGAACATAAATGAGCTAAGAACTGTCTAGAGAATTATAGTAGTAAAACAACAGAGTATATATTAGTAATGGTAGTCTAATACTAAAATTGTGTGAGGATACAATGAAACCTAATATCACATTTAGTTACCATTATAGCTTTTGAATTTATAAATATAGTTAAACTGACAATTCCTATCACTGCTCATTTGATATAAGGACAAAATTATATATCTTGCATCACTTTCAACCTATTTTGTACTTATTAAAATAAATATCCAACGCAGTTACACCTTTCTTAGAAGACAGAAAACATGCAATATATTAGTCAACAAAATTCAACATTTCAGAATAAAATCAATTTAACAATTTTTTAATAAATAAAAAAAATTCACAGCATGCAAAAACTTACCAGTCCTCAAGTTTTCATTACCCTGTCTCATATTTAGTATATGTGATGGATCTGGCAACAATGATCATCAGTAGCCTAGGACAGTATAATATTACTACTATAAATCAGAAGTAATAGGATGATTTTAGCAAAACTCTCATTTTCACGTTTCTAGAACACACCTTCAGGCCTTCTTAAGTATCTAATTTCTTTCAGTTCTTAGTTCTATGTAAATCTGCAACACTAGATTAGATGATATTCCTCAAAAATGTATTGCATCCATTAAACTACCTGATTGGCTGCAAAAGCTGAAGCAGTTTCTTTAGGGGTCTTCCAAACAAACTGCCTTTGATATTCAGAATTTCTCAAGACATTATGTGAAGGAACAACAGTCAGTCCAGCTTTTTTCTGTAGAAGTCTATCCAACTGTTAGGGAAAAAAAAAATCCCAAAGTTATTAAAAATTTCTATTCAAACTTTTTTTATTTTTTTAACTGTGGTAAAAAACGTAGAACATAAAACTCTACCCTCTTAACAAATTTTTAAGTGTACAGTAAGGTATCATTAACTATACGCACATCGTCATACAGAAACCTTTCTTTAATTGTTAATCTTCCTTTAAATTGTGAAACTCTTTAAAATTCCCTTAATACCGTCAAGGAATTATTGTGCATCCCAACAAAAGATAACATTTCTCTCATTGCTTCTCGGCCTTTTGGCTAAGATCAAGTGTAGATAACGTTTCTCAGTCCCTTCCTACCAATTATGCATAATTGAATATATTACTAAGAAACAACAGCACATTACCTTGTCCACAGCTTGCTTTGGGGACACCCCTTCCCCTGCCCACCAGACTTACATGTCACCTTCCTTGATTCCCATGCCCCCTGGTCTTCCAACACTTCTAAATGCCTCTCCGTGGTTCCAGTCAGCGGTGGACATGAGATGGGGAGGAAGCAGTAGAGTGGAGAAAAATGGGGAAGCAGTGAGGTGTCTGCACGGGTCCCTGCAGCCTCTGCTTATGTGCTCACAGGGACCTGCCGCAGGGCAGCTGGGACATAAGAGAGCAGAACTGCAAGATCTTTTGAGATCTAGCCAGACCTCACCTTTCTTTTGCATTTTGTCAATTGAGACTCTGTTTTTTCTGCTAGTACACAATAAGAAATTGAAAAGGGCCTAGGTATAAGTCAGCTCACCATTGCTGCCAGAGGTAATGGCCTACTCCCTTTCTATGTCTCAACTTGATCTGTCCCTTAGGACTCAGGCGCTGATATATGATAAATAAAATCCAGAGGCAGGCTGTGCACCCAACGAAGGGATATCTTAGTAAAACCAGTACAAAATGGCAACTATTAAGAAGAGATCTAAGTCATACTAACTAAAGTCAACAGCCTCTTATCAACTCTTCTACAGACACTGGACAAGAAAACAAATAATGGAAAAATTTAAGCACAAAATGTAATATTACTGAAATGATGATGAAATTTACAAAGAATTCTATGCTTCTGAAAGGAAATACAGTGAATATACCTACCCCACCATCTATGTTTTCTGAAAGAAGCTTGGTAGAATGTTCCAGCTCCACATTTTCATTAACTGGTACATGATTTGCTACTATATCCTCCTTATTTTCCACAATTTCTGAAGCCCCTTCAGCTCTGGAGTCTGCAGAGTGAGATCTGGTTCTCTTGGGAACCCTGGAGGCGTCAAGTGCAAGAACCCTTTCTTGGTTAACATCTTCTTTTTGTTCTGGTTCTGGTGTTCTGGGGGCTTCGGGTTCTGGTGATACAACCGCAGCGTTCTCTGAGGTAGCTCCATTCCACTCAAGAGATTTTGAAATCTGTGGGTCATGGTGAGGGACTCTTCTTTTGGAAATAAAACTTGGCTCTTTTGTGATTCCTAAAAAATATAATATACAAAAATAGCAGATACCAAAGCATCAAGCTACAAAGACAACTTTTAATCACATGTATGAGAAGAGAAATGGAATTTAAAATTCAGTTGAGATACACAATATCTTTCCAGTTACAGATTTAAAAAAAAGTACAGGTTTTCAACATAATATCTTTAATTTTGCTTTAAAGAAATATTAAAAGTTTGACCATAATTTTTAAATTGAGGTCACAATGTTCGAGTTATCCTAACACAAGTTGCTAGAATCACAACGTGATGGACCTGGCAAGCCAGGTGGAATGTGTTGCCTCCGTTTCTAATTACTTTCCTGTGCTACTTTACAGAACAAAGGGCCCTGGTGCTGTCAAAATTTGGAACTTTTCACAAAGCTTCTCTTATGTACAGCAGACCAAGATGAGAAGGGGTGAGATGTCATTATGCTGGATCTTAGTTCTACATTTGCCTTGAGTTCCTGAGAAGTAAAGAGAATGAACCCTTTTGACAAGAGCTAAGATACTATTTCTCTATATTTCTGTCTGGCAAGCAAATGTCCAAAAACTTAACCTTCTACCCAGGTAAGAGGAGCTCTGTGGAATGACAGTCACTGAGATACTGCCCTAGTTTGGAGCCATTCTTTAAAAAGAAAGAAGACAGTGCAGGGTGGGGTAGAGAAGAAATATTAAGAATGGAAGAGAAGGGAAGGTAGACAGACAACCTGGCATTAGGTAAAACCAGAGCCCTTTAGCCTCTATCATGGATGTTCTGGCCATCAAACCCAGGGTCCCCACCCTTTCAAGTCTCCCCTAGACCATGGTCTTCAAACTGGGTGCATATATATCTGGAGGCACAGAAAGACATTCTATGGGGAGGCGAGAGCAGAAATGGGCAGCTTAAGGGAATCACTTTCCAGATCCTAACTTCCATATGTGCTACTTCCTGACAGCCTAAGGGCTGCATCTGCCATCTGTAGTTTCCTTCCTCACCACTCCCTTCATAATCACCCTCTTCCCACTTCATACAAGAAAGACACGCCTCTCAACCACCCTATGGAATAAAAAAATTGTCATAGGTGGGGAGGACAAAGGAACAATTCAAGAAAGCACAACTCCTGAGGAAGAGTATCTGACAGCAAAGCAACAAAGGCAGAGATTAGAAATAACAAAAGAACAGTGCCTTATTTTATCCAGCACAACACCTTTTCCATCTACCTATCTTAGAATTAAAATTCAGGCATAAGACAGTCATTATGTGAAATGCATATATGCGTATTTATGTGGACCAAAAAATAAAGTCAGACTTTTTTCTCACAGAAAATAATTCTAACTTACATGATTAGTTTTCTAGTGAGGACTGACTTTACCAATTAAATGATGAACATTTAGAGCTCAATCGCTAGCTCCAAAATGATGAACATTTGGAGCTCAATCGCCAGCTCCAAAATTTTAACAAAAGACATGTAAAACATATACACAATACTCAATATGCTAGAAATCATAACCTTTGAAACTATTCATTACACTTTTGATAAAAAAGAACTTAAATATCAACTTTAAAATGTGGAGAGAGATAAGACTTTCTAAATTCTTTTAGTGGTTATGAAAGCACAAAAGCTTGAAGACCACTGCCCCAGACTTCTCTCTTTAACACAGAGCAGGGCTGGTGGAGGAAGAGCAAAATGAAAAGGGAAGATTCTCAAGTGGTCCACCCTTGTCTCCTAGCACCGTGGAAAATACACTATGAGGAATAATAAGCACAGAACGCCCAGCCAGCCTTCAGTAACACCGCTGCTGTTCTTTCCTGGACCCCACCTCCCTTTCTGAGCAACCTGGAGTTCTCACTCTGCCCCTCCCCGTTACCTCCCTGTTAACAGGCCTCCTCCTACCTTCCTCACAAGGTACCATACTCCAAAGCGACTCTGCTCCCGCAGTCCCATTTCATCACCCCTACCCTCACATGTAGCTGATCTAAGCTAAAATGTTACATGGGGGCAGCTATGTGGTTAACCAATGCCCCGTGTCATAACATCCCTCAAGGCCCTCAGTGAGCTAGCTACATTTTGAGAGATTTATGTTGGGATTCTTAATCTAATGGAGCCTCGAATCTGTGGAATTTCTGGTCATTCAGAGAGGATTATGAGCACTACCCTGCCCAAGATGCAGTGACACCCAGTCTTTGAAGCCAGGCTCTGGGCAAAGGATCCTGACAATTCAGAGGAATCCTAAAAGAACCACCCACTCTCATCCACTTTTCCCTTTGTTCTCCAAACCTAATCCTGGAAACACTCTCACCTTACTAATTTCCCAGGCTTGCCACCCCATGTATAATTCTTTCTTCTCCTGGCTTCAAACATCTAAGTTGGAGGAACTTATATACTACACATCTGGCACTCTCACACATGTCACAGGTTGGGCACCAAGCACTCATCTGTATATATGCACCTAGCCCTTAAGAGGAACATCTCATTTCATCCCTCCTAGGAATCCTGTGCAATGGGCTTCCCAACTCCCACTTGGTGAAACAGGCCCAATTTGCCCAAAGTCACACAGCAAATGTGGATTCAAACCCAGGTTTATTCATTCATTCAAAAATGAAGTTTAATAAACTCCAGAGTATGCCAAGGCCCTATGTCATGTACTAAGCAGGAACAAGGTGGTGAAGACAGACAGACAGAGCCCTGCTCTCAGAGATCTTATGTTCTAGTGAGGGAGAATTAAGCAAGCAGGTTGAATGGAATCAGTCTGTCTCTTTCCCCCTCCACCACACTCTGGGAAACCTTGGGAGGAAGCATGTGTGATGACAAGAACATGGCCTCTGAACTCACAGGCTTTGAACAACAGACTTGATTTCAAATCATGGTTCTATCACTTATGAGCTGTGAACCTTGGGCAAACTGCTTTATCTATCTAAGCTTCCATTCCTCTAGACCTTGGGAGTACCCCTCCCCACACTTGTCCACTCTCAGCTTTCATGTCTCAGCTCCAATATCACTTCAAATAAGCCTTTCCTGACCACTGATTCTAAAGTGTATTCCCTCCAACCCACCCCTCCTTCCAGTTATCTATCACGCCAGCCTACAATTTTATATAACAACCTGAAATCCCCTGGTTTATTTATTGAGTTACTTGTTTACTGTTTTCCCCACAGTTAAGGGTTAAGTTATATCCCTAGAAGAGGGGAATAGTCATGGCCTACAGTAAACCCTCAATAAATATTTGTTAAACAAACAAGTAAATCAACCAGGCCAACTGAACAATGCTTCACAAATTTTTTTTTTTTTTCTTCAGTACGCGGGCCTCTCACTGTTGTGGCCTCTCCCGTTGCGGAGCACAGGCTCCGGACGCGCAGGCTCAGCGGCCATAGCTCACGGGCCCAGCCGCTCCGTGGCATGTGGGATCCTCCCGGACTGGGGCACAAACCCGTGTCCCCTGCATCAGCAGGCGGACCCCCAACCACTGCACCACCAGGGAAGCCCACTTCACAAATTTTTAATAAATCATTGTGCAAACTTAACCCCAAAGTTTATTCAACTTATAATGACTACTAGCTGTTCAACTTACCTAATTGATCTGATCTAAGTCCAGCCCATGGGTACTTTCTCCCCAATGAGGAATTACAGGACTCTGACAAATATGACTTTTTCCACAGAAAGTTTCTCTGGTATTCACTCAACCCCTGTAATGCAAAGTACAATTTGAGTAAAACGTAATTAATGAAAGTTGTTTTAAGGTAGACATCCGTAAAAATCATTTCTGAACCTCTAAAAAGAGTTGAAAGACTTAAGACTGATAATTAACCATAGAAGAGGTCCTTAATAATAGCTCCCAACATTGACCCAGCCCTGTGCTACCAGTTCATGGTGTTATATCCTTTAATCCTCACAACCACTTGAGACAGATGTTACAAGGATTCTGAGGCTCAGAGTGGCTACCCTTTTGCTGGTTGTCTAATTCCAAAGCCTGAGGTCTTGTCTGATAATGGGTGGCAATCTAAATCCTCATCACTATAATTATCCTAACTAACGAAGTTCTCACCGAGTACACAATATAATATAGTATGCCTAATCCCTTTTGAAGTTTTGTAAAGTCAACCAAGAAAAGCCAAATTCCCTCCCATTCTGGATGCAAACCCTCAAGATAAAAGAAGACAGTCAGGGCTTGTGGAACACTGTGGTCAACTGTTATGTTGAAGGGTGCTTGACCATGACAGCTACCAGCTACCTGTAACTATTAGCAAACCTTAAACAAATGCACAATTGTGAAGAATGTGTATTTCTTATACCCTGTCTTTATCTTGTCAGGGTCCCATTTCTCAAGCCTTTAAAAGACATAACACACTTTAAAGTTTTAAAGGGAAGGGGTCTTAAAAGCTAAGCTGTGATGTGGTCCACAGATGTCCCAATCTGAAGCCACCGTAGTTCCCATTATAAAGTGCCCTCCATCTACACGTCTCTGAGCTCTCCCCGCCCCCACCCACCCAAATAAATCCACCTCAAACCATCTAACTATTCCACTCGGCAACTCAGAAGTGAGTGTGAGCGGAGAGGGGGCTAGGTAAGAGGACAAGAGCAGCATCCTCTAGGATGGTTACAGGCAGGATCGGGAGCTGACAGGCTCAGCAGGGCCGAGGGGCGCGGCCCAGAAAGCCAGTGAGGCTCCGGCGCCCTGCACCCGCCCTGTCCCAGCTACCCCCATCAGGCTTCGGCCCCCGGGGACCCCGGCCTCACCTTGAAGCGCACCGGCATGTCGCCCGGCGCTGGAGCCCCAGCCACTCCGACAGTTAATGGGACAAAAAGCCCGGAGGGGGCGGGGCGACAACAGGAGGTTCCCTAGCAAAAGCCTCGGCCCAGCGTCCCCGACTACGCGCCGGCGCACTCCGCGCTTGTCTCCTTGAGCCGTGTCGCTCTGCCTTTCCCCGCCCATTCTGAAGACTGAAAACCAGCAGAGACTCGGAGAGCCCCGCACCGTCATTAAGATTCGACCAATCAGTGCTGGAAAGGAGACCCCCCGCCTCCCCAGCCAAATCCCGGGGATTGATAGAGATGGCGGGCGGAAGGCCGGCCAATGAGGCTCCCGGGCCCGGAGTGGGCGGGGCCCCGCGGGAGCTTCGTCCTGAGGAGAGCTCGACGGCGTTTGCTTTGTCGCGTCCTGCGCAACAATGGGTCGGCGTGCCGCTGGGATTCGTGAGTCGCCGGCCTCGCTGGACCCAGGTTCTTGACGTCCTAAAACAGGAAGGTGTGTTTTTAGTTTCAACATGTATGACAGAACGGAATGTTTCTTTGTATGAAATGAAAATATTCAGGTCTGTTCTTTAGAATATCAATTCTTGCCACCGACAACCGTGCTACACTATTTACCGTCACGTCAAAAGAAAGAGGCCAGAAAATAAATATGGCTTACAGGCCAAAAAACTTTTTTACTTAATCTTGAAAGACAAAGTGCTGACTTCCCAGTGATGTTCTTGCCTCCCACAACCGCACCCCCACCCCGCCTCCGCCCAAAAAGATGTACATGTAGCTCCTAGATTAGGAAACATTCGTTAATGATGCTTGGGAGTCTCAGCTTCCAAAGCTTCAGCCTTGTCTCTCCTCTCACCCTTTTTAAAAATAAAATTCCACTTGAATTTTACAGATTTTTGCCATCATCAGTATATCTTGAGATTCTACCATTGACAGAACACTGTGCTGACCCTGGCGATGGAAAAGTCATAAGTTGTCCAGATAGTTCTCTAATATGCTTGGAGAGAATGAACATATATTTATTCAGTACTATTGTACAATGTATCATGTGCTAAATTTCTAAATGAGAGGTATAAATGATAAACGAATTGGAGGAAGGAGTCATCCCCAAGGTCAGAGATGGTTAGAAAAAGCCTCAGGAAGAAATATTCAGACTTAGCCTTGAAGTTTAGAAGAACTGAAATAAGTAAAGAGGAAAATGGGACAATCAAAGGGCAGATGTCTGAATGGAATGCTGCCAGGCTTTTTCCAGGACAATGAATGCAGTTTCATTTTACTTTTGTCATTTGTTGACTGAAGAAAAGGATACCCTCTTTTAAACTTTCAAATATTATTAATCCTTTCTGCAGAGGCTTGTCTTCTGAATCCTAATTGATGTCTCTGTTCTTCTTCATCATTACTGAGATACTTAAAATTTCATTTGAAGGAGCCATCTGATATATGAAACAAAGAGAATATTAAATTAGTCCCTATGCAGCCATGCATCCAGAGGGCCCTTGATAAATGTTAATTGGTGATGACAGCATCTCTGTCGTGTAAATTAAGAATGGCACAAACACACAGTGGAACATAAAACAAAAGTCCTCTGCAGGAAAGCAGCCCAGATCTTACAGGATAGGAAAGACACAGATCTGGTTGTACACAAAGCTTTGTTACCACATAATGCTAAGGTGAAATCAGTAAAAGTAAGTATATAGAATGTAGCCTGTCTGCCAAACAAGGGCAATCAATGATAACTATAGTCGAGCTCTGCTGAGCAGGGAACAAATGTCAAGAAAACCAAACAGCAGATGGTAAAAAATGACTTAGTCACAACCTGAGTTTGCTGAGATGTGTTATAAGGACTCAAGGAAGACAAATAGTTTACTTTGTTATTTTTAAGAAAAGCCTATTTCAGTTTATGAGCAAAAGATGTAGAAATGAAAAAAGCGACAGTGTTGCTAAAGGAGAGTTTCGTGGCCTGTGTTTTACCAGCTCCTAACACTCTCCACTACTGTAGGCAGCAGACCCGGTACCCCACAAAGTTCCACCCAAGTGTTCTGGAGAGTGCCTAGGAAGTGTCTCACATGTGCTTACAGATACCACATATAGTTTGCCCAGCAGCACTGCCACTTCTTCCAATAGCCATACATCTCTAGGTGTCACTCTTCTTGCTGGCCACCAACATTTCCTGTGGCCTGAGTTACCACAGGCACAGCATGGAACCTCCTTGGGCTATTCAACCCTGGCGGGAATCTGTGGCAAAGCGCCTCTGTACATTTTTTGTGTTACCCTCTATCGAATGAGTACCAAAGTGTCTTACAGAGCTTTTCCACTTGTATTTTAGCCTTCCTTCTCTCCAAAGGACTCAAGGTGAAGTCCATTGGGTCTAGGCCAGAAAGTAATTCCTCAAATGATGGATTGGATTCCATGAGATGAGGGTGTCACAACTGGCTCCCTCTTCTCTTTCTTGATTTCTCTGTTTCTCATGCAAATAGATTTCTGTTTATTGCCTGTGAGAGACAAACTGATACAACCTCTATAAAAGACAATTTGGCAGTGCTTTTCACCCAGCAATTCCACTTTTGTAAGTTATCTTACAGATATACGTGCCCAAATGTGAAAAACCAATTCATTTAATGTTGTTGACTGCATTGTTTATAGTAACAGAAGTTGGAAGCAACTTAAATGTCCATCTGCAGGGTACTAGTTAAATACATGATGGTTCCTCCAGGGACCAGAGCAGGAACAGGCAGTGCAGCAGGTCCAGACGGCAGTGCAGGCTGCTCTGTTCCTTCGGGCTTTCTGACCCAGCAGATGTCAAGTACACACTATATCCGTCAGGGTGCGGTAGGGAAAACAGAAACTACCAGAAGCATTTCAACAGAGAAAACTTAATATGAGCTATTGGTTAGCTGTTGGAGAACTTTAAAAAGCTAAATGGAGAAAGAGCATAGTAATTCCAAGAAGCGGCTCATACCCTGGGTCTGGAAGAACAGAGGGAAAATGTTGAGGTTACTCGAGCACAGCTCCAGGCTGGCTGGAGATACCTCATGGGAGTTGGTCAGACCTCTGAGAAGGAGTCACTGCCTAGTGGTGCTGGTGCCTCTGAGGGGACAAAATGAGGCTGCCCAAAAAAAAGAAAAGGGAGGCAGAAGGGAAGGGAATGAGGAGACTGCAACCAACTGGCACCATGGAGGTAAAGGTCATTGCTAAGGGGCTGCAGAGAGGAAAAGCTAGTAAAAGAGAGCATTCCTGTCTGTCTTAGCACACCTAACAGGGAGCTAGCAGGATCCAAGGGGTCTGCAGATTCCGAAGGGTGAGACTAGAATTGAGATAATAGCTTATTAACTTGAACGCCCCCATGCAACCCTTAAGAAGAAAGAAGCATTTCCTTGAGCTAACATGGAATGAATCCCCCCTCTCCCCCTGCCAAAAAAAAAGGCAAGTTGTAGAAGAGCTTGTGTAGTATACCGTCAGCTGGGATAAAAGACAGACAAAAAAAAGAAAAATGTCATGATGGCATCATTCACAGACATTTTTACCCTCATGAGTCTAACTACATTAGCAGCAGCTATGATGATGAGCATTTTATTCAGTTTCTAATACATGGAAATTTTGTGGTATTGATAGTTATCATTAGGCTGTCCTATTTAAAATGACGCTTTCCATTGACCCTTTCTAGAGTCACTTTGATTTATATATATCTCAATAGGGCTGTTGCTTCTTTTAGAGACAAAAACATATCAAAATCGTTTAAAGCAACTTTTATTTGTACTTGAAGTGTAAATGTACTACTCACTCTATTAAAAACAGGAAGTCGATCACTTCACAAATCTAACAATCTCCCATCATTTTCTTGGTAAGAATTGAAAGATTGGAGAATTTGTATTTGCCTCTAACTATATTTTCGTTTAACAAACAAAAATATGTTATCTATAAGCAAAACACTTATACAGATAACAAAGTTGAAGAAAGAAGATACAGTGAGTAAGACACAGCCTCTGCCTTCAAATGTGATTGCAATCAGATGAGGGAACAGACGCGTACACAAAGAACACAGGAAATGATAGAGAGAAGGAAGCAAAGAAGGGGCTAAATGTGAGCACCCTGGTATTCTGAATTTGCTTTTAAATCTAGAGCCAGCAAGTTTGATCTAAGCCTGGGGACTAAAGAGCAGACAGGATAAGGCAGCTGCTTTTAAATTCCATCCTGGGAAACACCTGACCTAGGTGACCTTTCACTTTCTCTTTTGTTATGCCCCCAGGTAGCTGAATCCAGGCCAGAGATCTGGAAGATTTTAACGAACACTTGCTCAAGATTCTTTCCCCCAAAGGTAAATTACTTGCTGTCTGTTGTCTCTCTTTTTTTCCCTTACTGCTTCAGAAATAAGAGTAAAGCTGGTTTAGAAATCACCGTTTTAGCAACATGGTGATACGTCATCCTTGCGTTTGCATGTGTATAATTTACTCTGAAATACTTTACAAGGTAACTGAAATTCCAGTTTCCCGGCTCAGCAATGCTCTGGCACTTGTAACTTCCCCTCAGGTCACACTTATATGGGCTTCCCTTGGTAAATCTTGAGTTCAGCCTTTGCCAAAAAGCAATCAGTCTGACCACTGCTTTCTTTGGCATTTTCCCATAGGTAATAACTGCCTTTTCCTCATATGAATGAATTTCTGATTGCACAACTGAAAAAAAAAGTGAAAACATTAAGTCAATGGATTCTGTCTTGGAAGCAAAATTTCTGGTATTTCACATTAATGTCAGTAAGAAACAAATAAACAGGGTCTGTGATTAAGACTTGCCAATGAGCCAAGTGCAGTTTGCCCTCCAGACTTTTAGCAAACCCCATGCCTTTGTTGACAAAGAAGTGTCTGGCTTTTGAATCAGTGGGGCACCTTTTGGAGGGACTCCAGCTTCTCCTGACAGCACAGACTTTTGTGTGTGTGTGAGGCTGTGGGACTCCTTGCCATACAAGGCTATAGTGAATAAAGTAATTCTCAGTAAGGCATAAACCACTGCAA